TCATTACTCTGATATCATATGAATAGCACTTCCAGTCAATGATATTCAATGCGATGTCCACTCATTCACGGCATCCACTCGTTTGGGTCACACATACATCACGTCTCCATTTGTTCTGAATTGATGCGAATCTCACATTGAATGCAAATTCAGTTTATTTGATGAATCAATTTAGAGGTAATACATTGTCATTTATCAAATACCTCATGAAATGATCAAGCACACTATTAATACACTAACAAACACTCATGGTCATAAAAGTTGTGAATTCAATGTCTATTGAATAGAGCGTAACGTTGTCTATGAGTGACACATAATTGCATTCATTTCATGTTTACTCTGACGTTATGTTCAGAAAAGTGTGAATCAATTGAACACTTCTTCAACAATAGCCTCAAGTGATGGATGACATAGAGATGATGGACATCGAGGACAGTGCCTCTCAATCCACTCAATATCACCACCAATTGCCTCATTGTCCCAACACTGGTGTCAAGCGCTCTTTGAATGTCATGAATGGCAGTGCAAAGCGTTTGTCGCCAACACTTCCAGCACTTCCACAAGAGTTGCGAAACGTATTGAAAGCCCGAAGACGTGTTGCGCCACTAAAAGAGTGTCCATTGGATGGCAACGATAGTCTCAACAACAGATTGGTGTGTGTTTTGGACACAAATATATTGGTCTCACATCTGAATCCTCTGAAGCAATGGATTGTCTGCGAAGAGAAGCGCAGACAAGAGTCTTATGTGAAGTCAGTAGTGATTCCATGGGTTGTGGTGCAAGAGTTGGATCACCTGAAGACTGGTCGCAAACATAAGGGTGTAGTGAATGTGATTCACTTCATCAATGAACAGTTCAACAAAACCAATGGTATGTCTGTATGACTGGTGTTGAGGTTATGACCAAATCATATGAATTGTATTGTTATTGATTTGACGATAGGTTTAGTTTGCGGACAAAACACTCAAAACAAATGCAAAACTCATTCAAAATCACGTGAAGTGAAGAGAATTGAAGAGGAGGTAAATGACGACAAAATACTCAACTGTTGTCTGGATTTAAGCGCTTTTGAAGACAATGTCGTATTAGTGACCAATGATATGAACTTATGTAACAAAGCACTCATGAGTGGTGTGAATGCCATCAATTGGAACCAATTGTGTCATAAATACTCTATAAATAATGACAAGAGAATAGGTGTTGAAATGGATGTCAACTCTTCACTGAAAGACCAAACCATTCAATCCATTGATGACAACAACTCTGAGTCCAAACACAAACGCTCTAAAAGTGACGCCAATTATAGGTATTAATGATTGATAAGCATATCAAACAGTATTACTATTCAATCTAATTATAACACGTTTTCATTTTTTCCCAACAGATTATCAATGACTCAATTTGTGGATAAAAGTAGTGCAAAATCTTTAAGCACTGGAACAACTGGAACCACTGAAACGTGTGCTTCTCATTCAAAACCTATTTCATTGTCAAAGTTTTCATTTAATCTAAAGTCTATTAGTAAGAGTCCTGTGAAACAGAAATCACTGCGAAGTGGTGCGAGAAGTTCATTGACACCCAAAAGCACGCCTACGAACTCGAGTTACCGTCCAAATAGCTGTGCTCTTGAAAGAGACGACTGTCCCCTGAAATATGACGATTGGATCAGATATCGCGATGAATGCCAAATACAATTACTTGCATTTGTTGAACGCATCTATAAAGACATTTGGGATAAGGATTGGCAGCAAATGTTGGACATTGATGTGAACAACGCGTCACTCAAAGACATTATACGACTCATACGCAAAGAATGGTTCGCTAACTTTAGCGACCGATTCAATCGCGACCCGTCTGTCAAAGAACTCATCGACCGATTGCATACGAATGCCTCCAAATCTGATGCCAATTATCACATATTTTACTCGCATTTGAAAAAGTTTTGTCTTTTATGTCAACAAAATTTGAAACAATTTTCAACTAAAAATGGATAACTCTATGACCAAAGAGTTGATGATTTGCGCTCACATCGCACTATACCATACCATATCATACCATACCATATAGGGTACTATACTTTGCCATTTGTTTTAATTTAAGAGTTTAAAGCTTCGTTTGAATGATTATATTTTAAAAATAAAATACAATAAAATTATAATAACAAATTTGATAACAATATTATCATAACAAATGTTTGAGTTAATAAAATAGTTGTCATCTACTGATCATTTATATTCAATATGGAGAATGAAGTGCACCCAAAGGGGTTCGATGTGGTGTCCATCACTGGCGGTGTGTCTAAGCTATCGTGTGGTTTGTTTTGGCCGTTTTCACTACAACTCATTTGTTGCGAATCTGAATATAAGATGAATGCATACCGTAATGAATATATTGAATACGTCAATTACATCATAAGATTACCATTGATTGGTGTCATGTGTGTTGCCATGAGTGAGGGCACAGTCAAGTAGTGTTGTTGCGAGTGATAGGCCAGTGATTCTGTGACTCCATTCATATTGATAGCGTCGGCCATNGACACAATTTGTGATGAGTTTACTAATAATGTAATCAAAACATAGTTAGTGGTCATTAACACATACTTTTGTTCATCAATTCGTTTGATTTGTTTACTGAACCAATTGACAGCTGAATCGAAATCATCGATAGCTTCGTACATAAAATCTAAAAATATTTTAAATTTAATTAGTATCATATACCGGTACTACTGTATGTACAGTACTACCGTACTAATAAATTTACGGTATACTGCACAATATTATGTACCGTATATTGAATTGGATGCAATGTGAAACATACCTAAAGTGATGTTGTATTTTGCAAATATATAACTATATTTACTATTCTTTAGGTCATCCAAAGCTAGATATAAGAAATGGGGATAATATTGGAGTGAATCGCGGAAGGGTAAGAGGGGTGAATCGCTTAAGGATCTCAACATTTCTGCCCATATTTGAGTTAAGGCTTTGCTGTACTGTAAAAGTGAAATACAATACAATAAATTATACTTTTTTTAAACAATTTGTATGTAATCTTACTTTAAATCCTTTATCCGTAAGATTAGATATAAGATTGAAAGTGTCATACATTGTGTGATAGAGTGGATAACACTTAATATGTGACGAATCATCGCAATCATAATACATATCAATGACAGGAACTCCTGAGATCTGTAGGAAAGGCATGTGATCGCTACCAGAACCGGGATTTTTTATATCAGGCAAATGAGTCCAATTAAATGATTTGGACGGTC